TTTTATGCTTCCCCGTTAAAATTAATCCTTTAATGCACAACATAGCTCCGCCTGTAGCTCTTCCAGAGTTACTGCCGGTCCCAAGCCCGGGTAAAGGAGGAGGGTTGGGCATGGGGTTAGCGTCCCCATCCCGTAGAAACCTAACTCGCTAAAACAACGCTAACCAGAAAAAATAACTCAAACCATTTAAACTCTGACCTGGGAGTTAGAGGTAATATGACGCTTCATGGGGAAAGCCGAGTTCCTTCGGAAGCCACGAGGCCGACGCCCCTTCTAACAACCAGAGCAACAATTTTTATAGGTACATGGAACGTCCGGACAATGTGGGAGACCGGGAAGACCAGTCAAATAGCAACGGAAATGAGGAGATAAAACTTGGCAGTACTGTGAATCAGTGAAACCCATTGGACTCAAGCTGGACAACAAAGGCTAAATACGGGAGAGATGCTGCTATACTCCGGTCACGAAGAGGAAAATGCTCCACACATTCAGGGAGTTGCTCTAATGCTATCCAAAGTAGCACAAAATGCACTTGTAGGATGGGAATCTCACGGATCAAGAATCATCAAAGCATCATTCAAAACAAAGAAGGAGGGGATCACATTGAACATTATCCAATGTTATGCACCTACCAATGATAGCAACGACGACGTTAAGGATCAGTTCTATGAGAGGCTGCAATCAATCATAGAGAAGTGCCCAAGAAAGGACCTCACCATTCTGATGGGAGATCTAAACGCCAAAGTCGGAATGGACAACACCGGATATGAAGACATCATGGGACTACATGGACTGGGAAAGAGAAACGATAACGGGGAATGATTTGCAAATCTGTGTGCATTCAATAAATTGGTCATAGGCGGTACAATATTTCCACACAAACGTATACACAAAGCTACGTGGATCTCACCGGACCACACCACAGAGAACCAGATAGATCACATTTGCATCAATAAAAAGTTCCGAAGGACAATGGAAGATGTGAAAACCAGGAGAGGAGCGGACATAGCTTCAGATCATCACCTGGTTGTGGCCTAATTGAAACTGAACCTAAAGAAGAACTGGACAACTGGACAAACAGCACCACAAAGGTTCAATACAGCCTTCCTTCGAGATACTGACAAACTCAATGAATTCAAGGTAGCTCTCAAAAACAGGTTACAAGCCTTACAGGATCTACTGAAAGAAGAAGAAACTACTACGGAGGATAGCTGGAAAGGTATCATAGAAACATTAACTTCAACGTGTCAAGAGGTTCTGGGCTCCAAGAATCGTCATCACAAGGAATGGATCTCTATAGAAACACTGGACAGGATCAAAGAAAGAAAGAACAAGAAGACAGCAATTAACAACAGTCGAACAAGAGCAGAGAAAGTCCAAGCACAAGCAGAGTACATAGAAGCAAACAAGAAAGTGAAGAAGAACATTAGAGCTGACAAGCAAAAATACGTGGAAGAACTAGCAATGACGGTGGAAAAAGCTGCAAGAGAAGGAAATATGAGACAGCTTCACGATACGACGAAGAAGCTAGCGGGGAAATACAGTAAACCAGAGAGACCAGTCAAAGACAAAGATGGAAGAACATTCACTGAGATTCAACAACAGCGGAACAGATGGGTAGAGTACTTCGAGGAACTCCTGAACAGGCCGGCTCCAATGAATCCACCGGACATCGAAGCAGCACACACAGATCTTCCTATAAATGTCAATCCATCAACGACCGAAGAAATCAGAATGGCCGTCAGACAAATCAAGAGCGCGAAAGCAGCAGGACCTGACAATATACCAGCTGAAGCGTTGAAGTCAGACATCCAAGTAACTACAAGCATGCTTCATCTTCTATTCAAGAAGATTTTGGAGGAGGAACAAGTGCCGATGGATTGGAAAGAAGGACACCTCACCAAGATTCGGAAGAAAGGAGATCTGAGCAAGTGTGAAAACTACAGAGGCATTACACTACTTTCAATACCAGGTAAAGTCTTCAACAGAGTGTTACTGAACAGAATGAAAGACGCAGTAGACGCTCAAATTCGAGATCAACAGGCTGGATTCCGTAAGGACCGGTCGTGCACAGACCAGATTGCGACACTACGGATCATCGTCGAACAATCAATTGAGTGGAACTCGTCACTCTACATCAACTTCATTGATTATGAGAAGGCATTTGACAGTGTAGATAGGAGAATGTAATGGAAAATTCGTCGACACTACGGAGTTCCTGAGAAGATTGTCAACATTATCCGGAACTCATACGATGGACTACAGTGCAAAGTAGTGCATGGAGGACAGCTGACTGAGGCATTCCAAGTAAGGACCGGAGCCAGACAAGGCTGCCTACTCTCTCCCTTCCTGTTTCTTCTAGTGGTTGACTGGTTTATGAAGACCTCGACATCTGAGGGAAACAATGGCATCCACTGGACAGCTCAGAAGCAATTAGACGACTTGGACTTCGCAGATGACCTAACTCTCCTATCCAATACACACGAACAAATGCAGATAAAGACAGCCAGAGTAGCAGCAGTTGCTGCATCAGTAGGCCTCAACATACACAAAGGGAAAACCAAGATCCTTAAATACAACACGGAGAGCATCAATCCAATCACTCTTGATGACAAAACTCTGGAACATGTAGAATCCTTCACATACCTGGGAGGCATCGTCGATAAACAAGGAGGTTCAGATGCAGACGTCAAGGCAAGGATCGGCAAAGCTAGAGCGGCATTCCTTCAACTGAAGAACATATGGAACTCAAAACAACTTTCAACCAATATCAATGTCAGAATCTTCAATACGAACGTCAAGGCAGTTCTACTGTACGGAACTGAAACGTGGAGAACTAAAACAACCACCATTAAGAAGGTACAGGTATTTATCAATAGCTGTCTACGCATGATACTCAACATCCATTGGCCGGATACCATCAGCAACAGCCTTTTGTGGGAGAGAACCAACCAGCTTCCAGCTGAAGAGGAAATTAGGAAAAGACGATGGAAATGGATAGGAAATACATTGAGGAGATAATCAACCTGCATTACGAGGCAAGCGCTAACTTGGAATCCTGAAGGGAAGCGGAAAATTGGAAGGCCAGAGAACACATTACGTCGGGAAATAGAAGCAGATATGAAAAGGATGAATAAGAACTGGAAAGGGCTTGAAAAGATTGCCCAGGACAGGGTTGGATGGAGAATGCTGGTGAGCGGCCTATGCTCCTTCACGAGGAGTAACAGGCGTAAGTAAGTAAGTAAGTAAGTAAGTAATGCACAACATCAATGTCAACATTATTTTTAAGTTGTTTAAATTAACACTCTTCGCAGCACACATATCTGTTACTTCATATAATTTATGCACAAATCTACTGCCTTCTTCCATAGTATAATACTATCCACTGATTAAATTTACAAAGTAACATTGATTTGAGTGCTACTGTTGAAAGAGATTTGAAGATAAACAATCGGGGACTCACGAATTTTCCATTACTCTGACAAACTATCAAGTTATCATTTGGGATACGTTGACTGTTGATCAGTCTCACTACACAAATTACGCATAAATGATCTGTCATTTGATTCGTATTCATACGTCAAACAATGAAACTACTAATAACAGAAAGTAGCACACTCAGATATTACGCAGAATACTAGAAATGGAATATGTTGTCGGTACTCATGAAACTACATATTCATTACCAAATATTGTAATTACACCACAAGTTCATAGGATTTTCGGTGCAGTATGTGTATTGATTGTGCGGGTTATTCATCACTTAATTAAACAATCCGGTACTGTACACGACTTATCTTTTACATAGATTCAATCACTCAGCTTACAGAAATAATGAACATCTGAGAGTCACGTGAAATTTTGAGGAATAAAGTCCCAAGAAGCTTAAATCAATAGTTTTCTAACATATCGTCAGGTCATCTCACTTCGAAAACAGAGGATCAATTGAATTACGACGTTTAACTAAATTGTCATGAATACTAACGCTTACCTTCATAGTTAGATAATTCTGTGCTGATGCACTGGTGTAAAGCCGAAGATTTCGGGACGTTTAAATCTACATATACCAAAATCAATTGTTAAATAGACTTCATATTAATTGATGCACAAGGTTACGTAGATATCATTCACTATGAAAACTCTATTCTCCTTATGATGATATACCAAACTGAATATAGATTCTATTCACCATTACTAAGTTTATACATAGTATGAGTAACGAATTAATAAAATGAAATATATAACAAATTTTGATCAAATAATTGACTTCAATTATACAAATTATTCAAGTAATTTAAATACATACAGTTTCTGTTCATGTTGGATATTATATCCTGAATTTCTAAAATATTTCAAGAAGATCAACATCACAATTTTATATGGAGAATATGGGTTTGTTTCTGCCTTAAATAGATGATATAGACAAAGATGGAAATCTACGTTTAGTATATATTTAGAATATATATTGCGACTAGTGACCAGTGTGTCCGTTTTGTCGACTTCTCAGTTTACTACAATAGATTTTCATCTAATTTTGAAATCTATTCAACAGTATAATCCGAGATACGTGAACGTATCCGTTTGGGACTCGTCAACTGAACTTAACTTCGTCTAAATACTAACGTTGACACTTAGACTCGTCAACTAGATGTTCCTTCGTTTCAATTCTGACGTTGACACTTCGACTTTGACCACGTACTTGTTGTCAGATGAAGTGGACAGATGTCTAACGATTGATACATATGAAAATTATTGACATCTGAACAAATTCAATACTATTGTTCAATCATCAAATGATAACGGTGTTCTTTGGAAATGTATATACATCTCAACATTATATTCATTCACATAGTTAATTTATTGAGGTTATTGGTAAATTCCAGTTCTATTCACATCAAACATCAGGTGGACTGAATAAAACTCTCCCTATTTTATAAATATTAATAAAATGAGAAATACAATCTTTCTGGAATAATAGGAATTTATTCACTTCACTCAGTCTGTGCATTCCTTCATAATTTAAAACCGCGCTACTGATTACTCTATGTGTGAATATGTATACTTGATGTCATGTTTACGAAATAGTAAGTTAGAGATGATATATAGGAGGGTTTGTAAATTGTATCCAACATGGAAGAATTCTATGTGTCGTTAACGTAGTGGGTCATTTATGTGGTGAGTGTATGAGAATATTCTAAAATGAGAAGTTTTGAAGGCTCATGGTGACAAGTAATGTTTAGGGATGAAAATTTGACGTTATTTATCAAGCAAATCTATCTGATAAATTTTGACATGAAGAGAAAAGCGAGTTAGAGGATAATGTTGTTGAATGTTGAAGATGTTGCCTGACTGGTCTGTTAAGTGGGTTATAAAGGAATTTCACATTGCTAAACTATGTTGTACGATAAGTATGCAATAAAAGTGCACACGATTGGCCCATAGAAAGCAAAGCCTTCATTTTATCGAACGTGAAACAAAATATTTGAAAACATTTCCACACACCTTGTTTAAGTTCATGCACTGACTGCTGTTCCATTATTAATTTCAAGCAGTTCACATCTAAAATTCATCAATGATGTTAAAATACTAATATTACATTCACATACATTCAATGATCGTTCCACGATCAAGTGAAAACTTCTTGACAACGGCATCTAAAATTTGATATAAAAGGTAACTGTATAACTATCTCCTTGCATCAGTGAGGATTTCGTACACTTTAAAAATTGCTCCATTAAGTAATTTACAAAATACGGACAAAAATGATATGTTATTAACTCCATACATTGACTACTGTCAGGCACAAATAGTCAAAAGAAAATCCACTCTATATATCATTGAACATCACATGGTAAAATTCTGAATGTTTCACATGTATCAATCTGAAAGAGGTGAATTGATTAATTCACTCAAGATGTGTCCAGAAAGTGAAACCAACCTACCAATAAAATTTTACTGTTCATCTTAATCACTAGTGTTTCCACATATGGTGATGAGTAAAATCAGTAAACAACTTCAATACAATGATTATCAAAATCATTTTCATAAAATACATAATCCATGCTGAGAAACGCAATATGTTAATGACATGAATGAATCCGTGTGTAAATTACTTATTTGTTCCTGTATTTCATTCTCAGAAATCAGAAGTTTCGATTCATCTTTCTTCAAATTATCTAACAATAGAACAGAAGGTACAGTTGAAATGTGAAGTGATTACTTATGGGAAGAATATGCAAATGCAAACAGGTGACAGTGTATGCATAATGTCTAGCCAGAAAGATGGATAAAAATGAAAATGAAAACAATAAAAACCTGACATCTTTCTCTCTATTTATCTGCTTACCTATTTATATACCTGTCTATCTATCAATCTACCCATCCGTCTATATATCTTTCCATCTATCTGTGTGTCTCTATATCCGACTCTTATTTTTTCATTTTTTTTCTTTCTCAACACATCTGTTTAACCATTTTCATTAATATACTGATAGCATATCAATATTTAAATCTTTTTCACGATTCGCCTTAATTGTTGTTCCATACTTTCTCACTCTCTTCATACATTTCTCTAATCTTTCGTCGCATACCATCAAATCCATTCATCCAAATATCTGCACTTTGTCATCTTCACATAGATTTACCATTACTTACTTACTTACGCCTGTTAACCACAACGTAGCATAGGCCGCCGACCAGAGTTCTCCAGCCTACTTCGTCCAGGGTCTTCCTTTCTAGCTCTATCCAGTTGTTATTCATTCTTCTCATGTCTGTCTCAACTTCTCAGCTTAATGTGTTCTTTCACCTTCCTCCTCTACTTTGGCCTTCAGGATTCCATGTGAGGGCTTGTCTTGTGACGCAGTTCGGTGCTTTCCTCAATTTGTGTCCTATCCACTGCCAGTTCGTCTTCCTGATTTCTTCCCCCACTGGAATCTGGTTTGTCCTCTCCCACAGTTGGTTGTTTCTGATAGTATCTGTACAAAGGATCCGAAGAATTTCGCGTAGACAACTGCTAATAAACGCTTGTATCTTCTGGATGATGGGTTTCGTAGTTTTCACCACATACAGAATAACTGTTTTGACATTTGTATTAAAAATCCTGATCTTGGTGTTGGTTGAGTTCCAGATGTACTCCTGTTGTAAATATGTTGCTCTTGCTTTTCCGATCTGCGCCTTCACATCTGCATCAAATCAGTTGCACCTGGAGCCCCTCCGGGGGCTACTTCCAATCCCAAGCCCGCATAAAGGAGGAGAGTTTGGCATGGGATTAGCGCCTTCATATAGTAGAAAACTAACTCGCTAAAAAGACACTAACCAGAAAGAATTACTCAAAAATTTATCATGGTTTATGTTTAGTGATTCTGAGTTAGAGAAACATTTAGATCCAACATTTTAATTGAATTGCGTTTGGGGGACAAAGGGACGGTAATAATTATTCGGCTCGTAGTTGATTTCTTATGTTTACTGAATGGACATTTACTTATTTGCCCCTTTAAGTTAATAGGTACAATCAGTCCTACTCAGTCAGAAGGAAAACTGCGTATTTCCATCTTGAAATCTCACTTGTGTACATAATTCGCTCATTCACATATGATAACCAAGAGTATGAAATACTTTTAAATCTACAACACAGTTACCTGTTGAAATTCTTAAACCGTCCTTGGCATAGTCGAAAGTATTTGCGCTCTCTACAATTTGAACATAATTAATCAAAGTTGAAAATGTGAACAAATACATATGGTGAAACCATGATATTGTTTTACGTTTGATCAAAAAAGAAAAAGTAATTCAGCAGAATTCGCCATAATGTCGACCGATTGACATGTTCAGAATATTCTTATTTACTCGTAAAATTACGAAACATTTACAAGACCTGAACTATACTGGCATTATTAACCAATTCACATGGTAATACACGTTCACCCAACATTGTCCACACACCAATAGAATGATCAACGTATCATTCTAAATCATTTATCACACAAATGCATTCATCTTCAATTTTAGCCAATTTCTTCTGTTTCAACTAAACCTTTGTCATGTTATAAAACTAGCTGTACTTGTAACCATTGAGATCTACTCAAATAACACATCATCAGACTTCGAAAGCTCGCAACAATCTATACTTCGGTTAAGTATAGGTTTCAAAAACATTCACTTAACTTTAAGGGTCTTTTGGTTCCGAAGACTTATCTCCTGCCTAGATAGACTTTTTCAGGAGAATACTATCTTACAAACCTCCATAACCAATGAAAAATACCTGGAGGTGTCTGAATGTTTACTGAAATAAATTTTCAAGCATTTGATTTGTTTCAACTCAAAAATCAACATTTTCATTCAGTTATATTATTTGTTATTGGCGAAATTTAGACACTATACACATTGACACCAACCACTGAAGACATTGTAAGAAGAAAGCACGTAAATCGATAATGATAAATGTTGAAAGACTTACGAAATTGAACAGAGACACGTAGAAACAGAAGGAACACGTTTATGTGAACTAATAATAAGTGCTTCATATTAGGCATAACGGTTCTCCTGATAATTTATTCTTTATATACTGTCATAAACCATTTAAATACTGATATTATTAAAGAATTGCAAAGTGTCAACAAATATGATCATAAAAAAAAATCACATTTATCTAAAATTTTGTGGAATTCACAGTGTTTTAATGGCGTGATACTGAATACTTTTGCAATCATAACTGAGCTCACTTCTGTCAAGTGTGCATATACAATTTGAATAGACAACATCATTGATTACACTTACATTTGTGTTGGCCTCATGAACTTGAAATAAATTTTGAAAAAATGGAGAAAAGTATTAAAACTGCAATGTGATGAATAGTTTCACATTTAGAGGTCATAAAAAAATAGGTATTATGTGGATACAAAAATGAACAGTGTGAGGTATAGTTACTACTGCAATTATTACAACGGGCGTTAACAAAACTATCAAGACTAGTACCACTACAACTACGATGACAGATACTACCACTACTACTGACACTACTAAGTCTATTACGACAAAGATTTGTACTACCATTACTAATGACTAACCACACAGCATGTTAGCAAAATATGAAAACCATACATTCAGTACATCATTTGCACATGTTCGCGTTGTCCTTTATAGATTCTATTATTCCTCTAAATTTTTTATTATGTTGGTAGCTCACCTATTTCCTTTCAATTCATTTGGTTTGAATCATGTGCTTGTGGGTACGCCACTTCTGATTGCTACTACATAATAATACTCTGTGAGAGCAGTCGAAAGTAACCTAATTGGAATTTCGACAAGTGTGTTCGTTGGCCTTCCACATTTCCGTTTAGTCTCAGGATTCCAAGTTACCGTTTACCTCGTGATGCATTTTGATGATTCCCTCAATGTGTGTCCTATCCGCTAACAAAGTCCTTTTATAATTTCCTCCTCAGCGGGAAGTTGGTTTGTTCTCTACCGCAGTAAGTTGTTGCAAGTGGTATCTGGTCAACAGACATTGAGTATCTTACGTAGACAACTGTTTATGAATGCGTGTACATTTTTGATGATGGTTGTAGTAGGTCTCCAATTTTCAGCTCCGTATAGTAGGACTGTCTTTACGTTCTTGTTAGAGATTGTGAATTTGATATTGATTAACTGCTGTTAAGAACTCTACTTAGAGCCCTACTGGAACTTCTGCCGATCCCAAGTCCGGATAGAGGAGGATAGTTGGACATGCGGTTAGCGACCACATATTGCAGAAAATTAACTCGGTAGAAAAACTCTTACCAGAAAAGATTATTAAAACAACTTAAACTCTGTCCTGGGAGTAAGTAGGTCTTTATGTAGGAGTGTTATAACGCCTCATGCTGAAAGCCGAGTTCCTTCGGAAGTCAAGAGGCTGATTCCTCTTTCTGACAATAAAACTGTAGTGGCATTGGGCCCTAACTTGAGACAATATGAAAAATAGATATTCAACATTTAACGCTGGAAAATACCTAACAATGGAGAAGGCGGGGATAATGAATTTAATTAATACGAGTTAGTCAGATGGCATGGCTTCGCCTTGCAGGCGTGGTCCCAGCTAAATTTTATCTTGTATCTTTTATTTATTTATATTAAATATATTCTATCTCTAGCCTAAGCTTGTTCTTTATCACGTGTTGGTAATTGCTAAAATGGAATGAATCGGTGTAGGCAATGATGTAACTTCCACGTAAGATCTTATAGATTAGGCAGTTACATCATGATGAATCTACAATTTTAGGATTAGGTCTATTATTAGACCTAAGCTAATATCATAGTAGAACACAATTCTACGAGACCACGAAGCTAGAATAAAGTATATGGGTTTAACACATCAAACAAAAAAAATCGATGATGCTAACCAAATAAGTGAATTTTTCCATCTCCTTTCCAGATTTTCCCCAACAACTGTAATTTTATTGGAGTTCTCTGTGTTGTTATTGAGTATCTTGCTTTTTATCTATATAGATTGAGGCCTTCTGCTGCATGGACTGCTGCTATACTGTTTGTCTTGACCTGCATTTGTTGATGTGTATGGGATAGAAAGATGAGATCATCTGCGAATTGCATCCAACCTGTCTGTTCTACTTCGTGGTCCCCCTCGGATATTGGGGTTTTCATAATCCTATCGACCAACAGAAGGCAGGGAAATGGAGAAGAAATAAGCCTTGTCCCCCTTGCAATGAGTCTATCTGCTGTCCTCCACGAACCACTTTGCAGAGCAGTCCATCGTATGAATTTCGTATGATGTTGACAATCTTCTTAGCTACTCACTCCGTAGTGTCGGAGGAGATTCCATCAGAATTGCGTCTCCACACTG